CTTGGAGAGCTGATCCAATGAATGATTGAATGAATAAATGACGTTAATTCAGTAAAATACACCATTGACGGCAACATGTTTTGTTATCAGCAAATCTAGGCCTATCTACCGGCGGGTCGCGCGCGATATGACATTTATGAGAACCAACAGCCTGTCGGGGGTCAGTCGACTGTAATTGTCCAACGCAAGCTGTTGCATCGTCACCGGTGTCATCGCGGAACCGGTGTCTCGCAGTGGCCATTCATGTTACAAATAGGCTACGTGTGGAGGATGTCCGATTGATGAATTGCGTCTACGTGTTTTTCAAATCTTGATGCGTGAGAAACCGGAACGGCTGTTTGCCGGTTTCTATATTTCCATTACCTTTATATCATTCATTGAAACAACCGGAAAATACAAGGATGGTCATGGATGATATTTTAACGACGACTGGAAATCGATTATGTCATTTGAAAATAACATATTAAAGATATTAGGATATAAGACATAAATAATAACCATTATCAGAACAAGAGAGCAATTGAAAAAAACCTGATGCCACTTCCGCCTTGTCAAACCCATTTTAGGTCTCTTGCAAAAAGCCCGAAGTAGAATGTGTCGTTTATTTCAAAGTATCAATAAAATACATAATGACATAATAGAGTTTTAACAGTACAACTCTAAAGCTTTAGTTCAAACGAGACATGAGAAATTTTTGTTTACCTTTTAAGTATGGCAATTGCCATGTGTTGCTGGTCGCCAAATATTTACTTTGAGCACGTGTTTTTCTATAACGTTATATTAATATACGTCATATATGTATATCTCGTTAACGTGCTACAGTTTGGTCCGCGCCAAATTGAATAAATGCGCGTGACATAAGACGTCAATCAATGATTGCACAACCAATAAGAAAGTTCCCAATCGTTAAATCAGCGCTATTTATATCGTCGGAAAAAATCCCTTGTCGTGTTAAGTTTAAAAGGTGAGGTTAAAAATAGAACGAATTTGACTTACTGTTTTTGTGAAGGGACGTCGATGAAATGCGACACAGTTCGCCTCTTGGAGTCCGTGTTAAAATCGGCCAGTTTGGAGTAGTCTGTATCTTGGTCAGATAATCTTGCTGATTTTCTGCTCTCCAGTAAACGAATTTCGTCAATCATACGAAGGATTTGCTTAGATTCGCCGGGAACTTGCTCTAGGCTGATGAGAACTTCATCAGAGACTCCGTCGTGAACTAAAACTGTCCCGCTCACCTCGCGTCCATTCAGAGTAATGTACACTTTTTGTCCTGTTCGTAGGTTCTTGTTCTGGACCGATTCGAACCCTTGTCCTATGATGTTGTTGGCGGTCACAGATTTGACCGATCCATCCTCGAATTTCACTGAGAAAAGCTGTAAAGTTTGTCTGGGATCTTCTGAAATCTGCGACTGAATAACTCCAGTGTAATATCGGCCATCTTGATAAAGTGCAGAGACTTTGGTTCCTACGATAGATCGCTTCGCTAAACGCCTCGATCCGAACATGGTCGGTTTTTCTTAACTTACATCGATACTCTTATACACTGTAAAAACTTTCCTGTAAAAAATTCGATCCGAATTGTCCGGTAAGTCGTCACAATATGTTCCGAAACTCAAGCTAGATCGCCACCGGTTAAGTGCGCCGGTTTGTTTTGGTAGAGATAGAGGCGGAGCTACGAGCAAAATATCAACAAAACCAGATGATCGGCTGGACGAGCATTGATTGGTTGAAATCTTTACCCCTCGGGTCGATATTTGACTGCGATTGGTCAAAAACTCGGACTTGTCAATCATTTGCAAGGTCATCTCACCGGCACGGGGTTAAGTAATTCAGACCAAGATATTGCGCATATGCTTTTATGTTTACAAAGCGCTTTAAGAGCAAACTGAAGCCCTTTTCTAGTAAATTCTTACAGATATATCTCCTAGAAATCAAAATATACCACAGATATTGCTGTTTTTTGAACGAGTGACCTAGTTTAGCAAATGTAATTCCCAGTGACAGCATGGCAAGAATTATAGGTCAATCTTTGTATTTATCGCGGTGCTGACTTACTTACATCCCCCCTCGGAAAATATCTGCAATTTAATTTTTTACCACTTCATGAATGATTTTCACAAAAATTCTTATATTTCTAAACAGAATGAAGCGGACAAAATAAAAAGATATCAAAATCATGCAAGAGTTTTCGATTTTAAACACAGATTTATTAGAAATCCGCAGATTTAGAATTTGACAGCTGATCGGCAGGGTCAGCTACCGGAATAGCCAAATAAATTGACAACGTAAACATAACATATCCCAGTAGGCAAAGGAATCCAAGATGGCCGCGCCCATATGGAGGAAGGCTCAATCCAGATTTTCAGTGATTTTTGATGTTTTTATTGCAATTTTCTTGACACATATTGTTTCTTCAGTAATAAGCGAGGTTAATGAGGCCATTGAAGGTACGCAACAAGTATTTTATTGTGTTATTTTAGCTATGAGCAATATCGTAATGCAAATATCGCTAAATGAGGAACTGAAGGGAGGCAAATCCATATTGTATTGCGGCTTAATAATACATGGGAGATTATCCGATTAATTCTATAGCGTTAAATGATGATTTAATAGTAGTCTGTAGCTACTGTTTTCAACACGGAAAATAATTTTTAGACCATTTACTTCCCTTGTATTATCTGCCCCTTTAAGGCCCCACCCCTTGGGTCTTGGTTTAAAGTCAAAACAAAGTCCTTTTTTCAAAATGGCACCTACTTGGTCTATTTCTTTAAGTTTGATTGATTTGAAATTTTCAGGTAATTTATTGTGTAGAACTTGTGGGAATGAGGTGACCCAGATCTCTCAGTTGATGGAGGTACCCAGTAAACTAGCTCATCGACAGAGAAACGATTCCTTTATTGGTTCTGAAAGAATTTTGATTCAACTTTTTAAAAATCCACAAGGTAAAGAATTCTCTCTTTTCATTGCATTTCAAATAATAAAAATAAACAAGGCAGAGTTTTAATTCAACAGTTTATATGACAGAATTAAAATCCTTTTTTTTTTTGGAAAAAGGGAGAATTATTATTATTATGATCTATTTTGTTATGACATCTTAAGTCAAAACACATCAAATAGAAAGTGTCATAAACAGTAGAAGATGATATCATGAATTTTTTTGACATGTTTTGACAATTAAAGTCATAACAAATCAAAAAATGAAATCTAATGTCATAACATTCAATTTTAGGCCACAATCTTTTGTATTTTTGATCTTAGCTGATCAGTAATGTAAAATTTATTATTCTCTACCTTTTCCACAAGAAAAAACTGAATTTGATGGAATATTTTGACAGTAGATTCATAATGATCAGAATTATAACTGTGTCTTTTTTTTTTTAATGATGTCAAAATATGTCACAATAAGCCTATGCAATTGTAAACCCATGTCAACTTTCTTTCTTCATTTTGTAGAAAAATATTTTGAAGTTGTAACTGCCAAGTCAGCAGAAATTCACAAGCTGGATCATAAACCTACATCAGAAGATTCTTGGTTCCCTGGCTTCTCCTGGACCATTGTAGTGTGCCCAAGATGTGGATCACATATAGGATGGTAGGTTAACATTGTTGAGGCTTCAAAATCATAAAATGACTGTGCACTGCATGCAGGTAGTAACAACATTAAAAAAATGTGGTTTAGATTTTTGTATTATATTAGTATCTCACAAAAAAGCGAGAGACAGACAGTTGTCCTTTTATATTTTTCAGGTTGTTTGAAGCAAATCACAAACATTCTCATACATCTCCTGTTACATCTTTTTATGGTCTCATTCTAAATCATTTACTACTTGATAAAGGTTTGTGACATTTGCTTCTGTTCATGTGTTTTTTAAAAACTTCTTCAAGCCTACAGTCAGTAGGTTACCCATTGCTAAAATTTACTTTAGATGGAGTTTCTTCCCTTAGATAGATTGAACAATATCTACTGTATGTATAGTGTGATATTATAACTTTGAGACTACTTGGAACAAACACAGTTCCTGTTGTCAAATTCATAAACACTTAGGAAACAAAGCCTTCATTAGACACAGAGATTTTGAAAGAAACAACTATATTTTACAAGGATAACAACTTAGCTTCACAATGAAGGATCCTTTCTACCAGCTGGTCCTGGACCAAACTTTCTACCAGCTGGTTGATCTTTCCTGGATTATTCCTACCCATAATCAATGTGATCTTCATTGATTTTTATAATTTTTAGATGCTGATTCAATAATTGAGGTGCCGAAGGTCTACACCAGTTAATTACAAAGGAATGACTTGTGGACAGTAGAATATCGATTTCCAACTGCAACAATGTGTATGAGTCTCTCATCCTTTCCTGTGATAATTTGAACAGTGCTTCCAAAAACTTCTGTTGGTTCTTGTGTCAACTGAATGACTGTGAGTTGAAGATTAACTTTGTTTTGATTTAATGCATGTTTTGGAAAAATGACTTTGTCTCATGTATGTATGCTGGAATGGATTATGTGTGCTTGTGTTACATAGTTGTGCCCAACGCTGGACTAAATGTTCTTGGTGATCCTTTTGGGATGTGATCCACATACTGCAGATGCTGTGCTATGAAAATATGTGCTGTGTGATGATCTTTATGATGTGATTCAGCCAGAATGTGATCCTCATGTGATGTGTAGTAGATAATATGTGATGTGTGATGATCCTTATGATGTGATTCAGCCAGAATGTGATCCTCATGTGATGTGTAGTAGATAATATGTGATGTGTGATGATCCTTATGATATGATGTATGACTGGTGCCTTAAATGTTGAAAATCTTCTTGAGATCTTGTTTAATTGGATGCAAAACTATTATCATTTGTCTGTTCAAGAGGTCTTGACTGTACTTTTGCTTATGTAAGCTCTTGGAAGTGATGTTGAGTTGAACAACCCATTCACAGAGTTACATCATGTGTTTCGAGGAATATAATTGTGCCTTATCAAACTGTGCTGCATTAAACTTAACCTACAATATTAATTGTGCAATATTATTTTCTTTTGGAATATATTATAAAGATTACTTATTATTAAGTATCCAAATGAGTAGTTTAGTTATGTTCCTAAATTTCCCAAGAATATGTGGTATAATATCTAAAGTTCTGAAGCCCCAAGACGAAACCTTTGCCCTAGTATAAAAGCAAGGTCTGTTCCCTTTAATGATCAAGTTTATTCACTCCCTATATCTTAATAATTAAGTATTATTTATGTTAGAATGTGGATCACGTGATTTATGTAATATCATGTCTAAGGAACTAGGGAAGGACAATATTTGTCGGGCCACCTAGACCCAGTTATTAAGGTCAGTTCGTTAACTAGACTAATTAGAGTCTAACCTGATTAATAATATTTGAATATTTAAACTGGTCTTTGATGATAAGTCAGTTAAAAAAATCATGCTCACGAATTGTCAATTGTTTACCAACCTTATTCTGATAATAAAAAAGCTTATCAGTTGCTGATGTAAGTAAGAGACAAGGTGCCCTTCAGGTCTTTGCCCATGTTTATGAACTTAGCGAACTTGGGATTCATCCTGGCAAACTGAGAGAGCTTTTGATACTTCTGAAGCCCTTTGTTGGAATTGTGGATATAAGAAAAAGCATCTAGCTGTTCAGATTAATAAATTAAGGCCCCATGTGCTACAGGTTGTGCTCATTAAGATCCCTAGACTGTTGGATAAGAGTACATCATTCTGCTGTCCTGGCACAATAAACATGGCAGTGGCTTTCTTCATCTTCAAAAGCAACACGTCAAATATATGGTATTACGAAGCACATATCAAAAACAATAAGCCATAATTTTCATTCATTCTGTCTAGAACTATGATTGGCTGTATTTTCTAGTGTACAATCCAATCAAATCGCTGCATTGGAGTGGCTATTGCAGTCAAGTTTGTAATAGCTTGACATTGGTGAAGATGCTCCCAATTCAAAACGGTCTTTACTATTCTCTTTCATCAGTCCCAACGTTGGTTCATTGATCTGGAATACAAAAAGTAGGGCATTAAACTAACAAGGCAAAGAACCCTGTGAAATAAATCATAGGAAAATTTTGTAGGTCACTGGGAATGTCATAAAGGGATTCTGGTCATTGCCTCATTTGTATTCAAATCACATTTTGTCAGAAAGAGAATAAGATGGTCACGTTTTGAAGTTATTGTTCGTTAGGGTGTGGAGTAATTAGCCCAGATTGGGTGGACATTTTTAAATGAAATGAATGGAATTTTACCTCCTACTTTTCCGCACATAGACATTTTGAGGGATGCTAAGAAACAAGTTGGAAAGCACCAACATATGTGTGTTTAAACTTGGAGCATTGCCCATGGTTCCAAAACAAATGAGAAATTGAAAAATCTTTTAGGGGAGTGGTTGAAAAAGTATTTTGATAAAAATCCACTGGAACATTTCAGCACCATGACATTTTTCAAATATTCCCATCCTCTGTAAAAGTTTAAGGCTTCTACCCTTAAATAAAGACACAAGCCATCAATATCCTTTAAGACTTTACTTGTTACTTACAGATTTTACTTGACTCAAATCTGGATATTAAATTGACTATATCTTCTGAACGGAGAAAGCTATTGAGATGGAATTGGTATCAAAATGTAGCTGATGATGCCAGGAATCCAAATATACTAATAGCTCTACATACACCTAATTCTACTTAATACCTGGTTTGATGTGCTGGGTCACATATGATATCCAGTTTATTATGTAGGCATTAAAATAAGATATACATATAATTATAATTTGAAAACCACTAGTGATTAAGAGGAAAAATCAGCAGTGAAGTCACACAAACTGCAATTTCCTTTTGTTATAAAGAATCTCATTGGTCTCATTGCTTCATCTTTTCTAACAAAAACTCTCATAGGTCAAGACATTTACCTTCTCCACAAAATACGTCAAAAATTACCCATAATTATTATTTGTGCGCAATATCTTAACATTATTTGTGTCCTCGTGTAATTTATCAAGTTTTCGTGCTTACATAAAGGATTGTTTAAAATAAATGGATTATTGTATCATATTTTCCCAAATCATGAAATATAATAGCAAAGGTATGTTTTGAAGAATTTTTTTTTCATGCATTTCTGACCAAAATGTTGCTAAATATCTGTGAAATTAGCTTAGCAAATCATTAAATAAATACTGCAAAATGAAACCCAAAATCCAAAACAACATATTGGCGGAAAATTGGTAGCAGCTAATGAACTTTTCATATGAGAAGTATATCAATTATAAGTGAGTAAGTGTTTCATAATGAAAAGTGGTATCAGGTGTCTAGAAGAGTAAGCATCAAATATAATTTATTTTGAAGTAAATGTTGAAATTAAAGATAGGTTCCCTTATTCTCATTGATGAAAATGTAAAATGCTAATACTTATATGAATAGAAAGTAGAGGTGTTCTAATGACTTGAAAAAATACCAGTTTATCTCACATGTCCATAATTCATTCATAATTAGCTAAATTAGAACAGAATTACAAGCAGAATTACATGAGTGACCTACAAGAAATGTCAAAAAGTCTTCTTTTTTTTTGTTTATCCAGACTAAACACACATGCACATTAATGATTGGTTAAAAAATTATATGCAATAAGAACATAATGATATGATTAAGAATACATGATAATTCATTAGAAACACCAATTAATCAAATAGTTTGCTTAACTTGACACTGAAAAATAAGGAAACCCATCTTTAAATATCTTGATAGATGGTGACAGGTCATTTCCTTTCATATTTTCACTATTCGTTTCTTGAAATTTTAGACTCGATGAAAAGAGAAGATTTCTATTGGTCTTTTTAGTTCAAATTTTTAAAAATTTTTCCAGATTTTCAAAAGAAAAACAACCAAAAAATCCCCAAAACTGTTAAGGCTTACATAAAATGCAAATTGCAAATGAGCCACTACATCAAATCATTATTTGGACACTTCCTTTATTATATAAGTTTCTACCCTTATAAAAAAACTTTCAATTTTTGTATTTCTATTTTTTTTACCTTAGAAAATGCAAAAAAAAACAGACCAAACCACAAATAGTTGGAATGACGAATTACTTTAGTCAGATTTTCTAACATTTTTGACAAAAATGGAGTGACAGAATAAATGGCCTACTATGAAATTTGTGACGGAGTTGTTTGTAAAAATAAAAATAAAGTTTTCTTTCCTACAAGTTCACTCAGAACAGAGAAGTAATGTCATCAAAAAATGAGAGTACGTTTTAAAACATGCATAAAAAATATTAGTGTCATTTGATGAATTACAGGTGATAAGACATAATACATAACCTGGTTGTAAATAAAGTGCACAAACGTTACATAGCAGATGATAAGTGCAAAACAATAAATGAAACCTAAATAAGATGCAAGTTTTGTCCTTTTTTGAAAGGTTTTCGTCCTGTTATGAAAGGTTTCTATCCTATTTAGAATTTTGTTGTCCGTTTTTAAAAGGTTCTTGTCCTATTTTGAAGAGTTTCAATCCTATTTTGAAAAATTTCCACCTTAGAGCATCTCCACATGTTCCACCTTAGAGCATCTCCACATGTTCCACCTTAGAGCATCTCCACATATTCCACCTTAGAGCATCTCCACATGTTCCACCTTAGAGCATCTCCACATGTTCCACCTTAGAGCATCTCCACATCTTCCACCATAGAGCATCTCCACATGTTCCACCTTAGAGCATCTCCACATGTTCCACCTTAGAGCATCTCCACATGTCTCACCTTAGAGCATCTCCACATGTTCCGCCTTAGAGCATCTCCACATGTTCCACCTTAGAGCATCTCCACATGTTCCACCTTAAGGCATCTCCAGCTGCACCCCTTCTTCTCAAACTCTCCTATGTCATGCAGCAAATAAATCAATCATTTTGAATTTTGAAATATGGAGCAAGGTCATGTTTGTCTATGAGTCCATGATGTAAACAAATTTCAATAAATTCACTTGCATTTGAAAACAAAACTGTCATTGAAATTTGAAGGATTCTTGAATCTCACAGCAACAATTGAGTTAAAAAAAATGTGGGTAATTTTCCAAAGATTGGTAATCTAAGGCCTTGAGAATTCTTGTTTTCGAAGGTTGATAAGGATGCATTCTTCAGTGAGGCCTTCATATTATCATAAAAATCACAAGTGATTAGATCAGTTTTGGTTTCAAATTGATAACCCAGTTGTAGTCTCTAGTAAACAAGAAAGTCTGTGAAAAAATAAACAAATTGTTGTTTTCGGTGTAAGGGTACTTATACTGTCAATGGTATTTTCATGTGTTTTTTTTTATACTGGATGGTGCTCTTTTGCTGGGTTTTTCTATTTTCTCAATTTTGACAGTATTTTGTTCATAATGTTTTGTTCAAAGATTGTCTTTTTCCTGTCAAACGATTGTCTAATTCTGTCAAAAAAATTGCCAAATTCTGTCAAAAAAATCGCCAAATTTAGTCAAGAAATTGTCAAATTTTGTCAAGAAATTGTCAAATTTTGTCAAGGGATTGTCAAATTTTGTCAAGACATTGTTGTATTCTATCAAGAATTTTTGTCCAAAGAAGGTTCTATTCTGTGAAGGGATTGTTAAAGTATACACCAACAAATGTTTTTAGGGGTTTACGTTAGTGTAGTTTTTTTTAGGGTAGTTGAATTTACATCAAGGGATAGTCTCACATTGTGAAAAACTGTATTAGGTTTCAGAAGCCTTTCAAAATAGAAACATTATCTCACGGATGTTTTTTTTACGTTTTAAACGATCTGATTTATGTTAAATTGTTTTCTTGAGTCACCATGCTTCGTCGTCTTCAGCAAATTGTGTGTAGAAGGTGTATTTAATAGGATCAAGTGTCCGAATATCAGGCTATTACGACCTGCGATATAAGACGGAAGGTCGTAATGGCCTGACATTGTGAAGATGTAACCAACTGAACAGTGCCGTAGCGAATAGGTACTGATGTCTCACGACGACCAAACATTAGAAATCTAATATATTGTTTTTCAATTGCGTATGTTCAATCCCCTAGTTCGTTTATGGTGTATCCAGTTACGAAG